GACGTGGTTTTAACAGGCATGGGTCAGACAATGGCAAACAGGTATATCGAAGGCAAGGCAAGAATAATCCTAGGGCTAGCGAAGGTCAACGAACGGCGAACAGAATCAAAAGGGCAAGACTAAAGGGATAAATCCAGGGAAACAGGCAAAGATCAGAAACCGAGAAAACAGACAAGGCAAGACTAGGCTAGGCTAGGAAGCTAATGAGGGCTCTGTAGAGTAGCTATCACTGCTGGCGATAAGCGCATACAATACTCGGCCCAGAATGGTTGTTTGAGTGGGTGTATTTATAGTGAATGTGTGATTGATGACAGCTGTGTGCAATCAGTGCTGTGTGCAATAAGTGCTGTGTGCAATCAGTGCAATGGCTGATGGGATATGTAGTCCGGGGTGATATGCAACAGTGTGTAGTGCGAGAGTCAATGAAAATGGAAAGGGTGACCTCTGATGGCTAGCAGATGGAAGTTCATGGACCGGACACGTAACAATCATATTAGTTTGCTGATAATAAAGATTGAAAAATATAAATAATGTAATAAAAAGTAGCACAGAAGTTCATTAACAAGTTAATATTTCAGTAATTTATTGACACATGCCTTGTTGCTGTTTTAAATGTGCTTTAGAAATAAACTGAACTGAACATTTGCATGTTCACGGTTCTTATGATTAAATTATAAAAACATTATTAATGTGTTAAAAAAATTTTTTTTTATTATTTTAATTTTACATTCTTATGAATATAACTGTTTTTAGTAAGTGTTTTTATTTTAAATGATTACATTGTTTATTATTAATTTATTAAATTATTTGTTATTAATTAAAATAATTAAAACAAAGTAAAACACTTTTAGTGCACATTTTTTATTTGATTTTAAAATATTTATTTTAATTTTGGATCTTTATGATGCTATTTATTTTTATTATTTATTTTTATTTAATTTAACTAAAAAGTATTTTATTTTTGATTTTATTTTATTAGTTTAGTTTTTATTTTATTTTGTCTTTTATCACTAACTACAAATTAAATAAATTATAAAACATGAAAAATTCACATAAATAATTTTAAAATAAAAACAAACCAAAATAAAACACTTACTAAAAATGAATAAAATCGTAAATATTTAAAATTGTAATAAATAATTGAGAAATAAAAACAAAATACAAATTAAATTAAATAAAAAAACAATACTAAAAAGTGTTTTAATTTGATAGTTTTTATTTATTTTAATTAATAATAAATTAATTTGATTAATTATTTTTTATTACAATTTGTAATTGTTAATGATGTTCATAACTTTTAGTGCTTTATTTTGATTGTTTATATATATTTTTTGATAGTTTTTTTGCTTCTCAATATTATTAACTCGTTATCTCCCAAAACCATTCAAGCTGGCGGTTATTAAGCCTCTTATTAAGAAACCACAACTAGATCCTAGTGAACTGGCAAATTACAGACCCATCTCAAATCTTCCTTTTATGTCTAAAATTTTAGAAAAAGTTGTGTCTGCTCAATTGTGCTCCTTCCTGCAAAAAAATGATCTCTATGAAGAATTTCAGTCAGGTTTCAGGCCCCACCATAGCACAGAAACTGCACTTGTTAAAATTACAAATGACTTGCTTCTTGCGTCAGACCAAGGCTGTATCTCATTGCTAGTTTTACTTGATCTTAGTGCTGCGTTCGACACTATAGATCATGACATACTCATAGATCGATTACAAAACTATACAGGTATTCAAGGGCAGGCTTTAAGATGGTTTAGATCCTAACTGTCTGACTGTTACCACTTTGTTTATTTAAACGGGGAATCATCTCAATTAACGCCAGAAAAGTATGGAGTGCCACAAGGATCTGTCTTAGGCCCCTCTGCTATTTTCAATATACGTTTCTGTGAAGCTGCTTTGCAACGAATTGTATCGTGAAAAGCGCTATAAAAATATACGTGAATTGAATTGAATTTTTTATTTTAATTTTATATTCTTATGTTAATAATTTTTAGTGTTTTATTTAGATTTTTTATTTTTAAATTATTTATTTTACTTTTATAATTCAATTAATTATTTTTTAAATAAAACGATCTTTTTGATTGTTTTTAAAGAACTAGAATCGAAAAAACGTATATAGTTGCAGAAAAGTAAACGTAATAAAAAGAGCACAGAAGTTGATTCCTCACCTGTCACTGGTTAGTTTTGGGCCCAGATGACGGTTGTTTTATGAACATGTGCTTCTTCAGACACACAGAGCTTCTCCTGAGGCCAGTTTCAATCTATAAACCCACTGGACGCTTTTACACGTGACCTGCGGGCCACGAAACACATGTGCCGTCCCTCCGTCGGCTCATTAAACGCACATTAGCCTGCGGTTAATGCAGTGAAAGCAGGATTATGTACAGTAATATCATGACATATTTCTGTGTTTTTGTCCACAGAGGACAAACTGGAGACGCTGCGTCCCGAGTTCTGCGTCTCCAGCTCTGGAGAAATCCTGCAGGCCGGTGATTCGTGGAAGCCGAACGCCTGCAGCAGCTGCGTCTGCCGTAATGGGAGCGTCCAGTGCTTCTCGCAGCAGTGTCCGGCTGCCGACTGCAGGGTCCCTGTGCTGCGGAAGGGCCAGTGCTGCCCGCAATGCATGCTGGGTACGTGTGTCTACATACACAAACACACTAATGACAGTGATTTGGGAAAAAGTGTTTGAACAGTAAAAAGTGGAGTAGAATCAGTAACGCACAGACTCGGCAATGTAAGATGGTACATTTAATAATCAGAATAAATAATTATTTTAGAATTAAACTTGTGTTTTTATTTAGTGTTATTCATTTAACTTTACATTTTTATGATTTAATTCATTTTTAGTAAGTGTTTTAATTTGATCGATTATTTATTTCTTTATTTCTTTATTTTAGTTTTACATTATTATGATGTAATTAATTTTTTGTGTTTTATTTTTGTCATTTTAATTTAAATTAAATTTAAATACAATTTTATTATTTTAATTTTACATTTATTTATTTTTATTAACTGTTATACAACATAACATTTATA